TGTGTGTGTGTGTGTGTGTACCACCTGAGGGCCAGCAGCGAGACAGGACACACCGATCAGGCAGGGTGTGGACCGCTCGGACACTGAGAGACTATATCCTGTCTCTGGGAAGATGAGGATGCAGTCAGACGGCCCTCAGGTTAAGACTACAGATCGACTGATAACAAGAACACCGCCTCTGGGACGCACTCTCACACACAGATCTTAGGTTTCCTAAGGCTGAAGAAGACCCTGTCTGTCCCAACACGTCTTCTATGGTTCACTCTCCACAGAACCAAAGGAATTTCACTCAATCAGGACAGAGAGGGTGTCACATTTCCTCTTTTATACCGCTTGTGTTCTGGCCGTTCTGAGGGGGAAAAGGCCACGCAGGGTGTGTCGTTTGAATCTTTACAGTAGGTTTTTCTCTCAAGAGTAACAGAAGCTCGAGGACAAACGCACACGCACACACACACACACACTACTGACCTTCCTTGTTCTGCTATCCGCTCGTCATGAAGAACCAGGATCTGATCGGCTTTGATGATGGTGGATAGCCTGAAAATACAAATGAACGTCATTGCATTAAATAGAAATTATCTAACGCTCACTAAAAGTTACTCTATCAAACTAATAATTGAATAACAACATTAAATGTAATCTTCAGCAAACCTCACAATCATATCATTTATCATATTGTACATTATAATGTTGTGACGCCCAAATTCACTTGTAGCTATTTATTTATTTAAATGTATTTTTAAAATGTATTTAATATTGGTTATAAGCCTTTGTAAAAAAATATATTTTCAGCTTTTCAGTATTGAACAGAATGTATGCAACAAAAGATACTGAGCTGATACTGTAGCTGATAATATACCTCAGAGTGAACAGAAATGTCACCATCACCATAAGGAATAACAAAAATTAACTATTCTCATAGAGGTTTCCTGAAAACCATCTTCAGGCCATGACAAACCCAGCCGAGGCTCGGCCACCGGCAGGCATTTTTTGTGGTTTGTTTCACACTGTTGGCACTAATCGAACCGCCATGTTTGTTTGTTTTTTCAGCCGATTGAGCATGTTGATTTGACGGCAGAATGAACAAGTGCACAAGAAGAAAAACGGAAGTGATGAAAGCAACTGGTGAGCAAGATTGTTGTGAAAATGGGTCTGTCCCAATACCCACATTTTCAGTCTTTGCACTTGACCATTTTTCTACTTCCATGATAGATTTCTGCAAGTGTGTGCAACACTTTTGATTACCCAATGGGACACACTCATAGTATTTTAAGGATGCAAGTCAAGTTTATACTAAGTTTTATTTACACATTTTGATTTTCAATAATTTGCACTTTAAAACAAACTTCTGTGTTTAGTATGGTCTCTATGTAACAGACGATCCAATTTAATTGTGGTGCTTCTAATGAAGTGATAAAAAGCAGTTGAAAACATTTTACAAAATACTTTACACATACTCATCTCAGCACCAATAAAATGATCTACACTTAACATGTTACTACCAAATTACATTCAATATCTGGAAAGTTTCCCTCTGTATCTCGCAATTTCAGGGCACATGAGTTGATGGGATCCTCAAAAACCACTGGAAAGCGTGGATGAAGTCCACAATCTTGTGCACTTACTTTCTGTCACATACAAGTGCATACTGCAGAACAACCACTGCTTTATTGATGGTTTGTATATCTGCACTCCAAGCTCTTTGACTTTCCTTCTGAATGATAAATACAGACAACTGCCACCTGCTGGTATGGAGAGTTATTTCTTCTCAATCAGACGCAGAATGTGCATCTTCAAGTGCAACTTTTCAGCCGCCACGCAGGCGACCGCTATAGATTTGCTGTCGATTAAGTGTTTCTGTGCCTTTCCACTTATTGGAAATATAAAGGATAGTCCTGCCTTAAACTCACATTGTTGTGTTGGGCTGGTCAGGATGCTCAAAGAAAACATGGGTAATGCTTTGATGCTCCATTAAGCAACAATATTTACAACCTACAAACAGCTTACTTGTTGTCTGCATAATAATTTAGGTAGGAGAAAATATTTGCAGTATTAAAAACATTAGACTTCACATTTAAAGGGCACAGACAGGAAACAGGACACTTACTCTGCCCCTAAAGCCTGTTTTTATTCCTGCATCACATCAAAAAAACGTAATCCTTGTTTGTATCCTGTTCACAAAGCAGAACGATTCAGCTGCCGATGTACTGTAAACGCATTCCCTAATTTAAAGCAGCAGCAGAGTCTTTAAGCACTAGATCCCTCTTAATCTAATCCACACACACTACTTCTTTAATTCACACCCAAAACCCTTCTGCAGGTCATCCTCTCAGCTGCCCTTCATCTTCAAACAAAGGAGCGGAGACTTCTTTATTGATCGCTAACCCCAGAACCACCACCCCAAAACAGATCAAAGTCACACCACTGTCTCAGAGGCTGGACAGGATCAAAGCTTGCAGATCCTGATCCTGATGTGTTTACAATTTTCTAAAGAGGAGAGCAATGAGAGACAGAGGGAAAAACATTAGGGAGACGCTGGACGGGCAGAGACGCTTTCCAAGAGCGACAGCAGGAGTACGAGAGTGGTGGAATGTGACGCAGAAAGACTAGAAAAAAAAGCTGAACAGAGGAGAGGAAGTGAGCGAGGCGTTTGAATCTATGTCAAAAGTGTTCGCTCTTCTCATAAAACACCAATACAAAATAATTCCACACTAATAACTAGCAGCCGCACACGTGTTTTCTGTTGAGGACACAGCAGACCTTTATCTAACACTATCGTGTGGACTAGAGGTGAAACGATATTATTGAAAC